TAATTATTTTAATATTGTTTTTAAATTTTGTATGCTCTGTTTTTACTTTGGCTGTGCACCGCCCTGAGTCCTTTTTGGAGAAGGGCGGTATAGAAATTTAAATAATAATAATAATAATAATAATAATAATAATAATAATAATAATAGATTCTAGTGCAGCAAAAGTCCTGGGGAGTTCCGGGACTCCCTGCTGCTGCCGCCGCCACCGCCAATGCCTGCAGCTGCAAGAACCCCACAGGAAAAGTTTGGGTGAGTGACTTCAGGGATTCCCTACCGCCGCCATGCCGCCGATGCCTGCAGCAGTGAAAACAGCACTGAAAAAGTTTTGGGTGAGTGAGTTCAGGGATTCCCTGCCGCTGCTGCTGCCGCTGATGCTGGAGGACTGCATATCCCAGCGTGCAACGCGGTGCCCCCCCTTTAGCAAAGAGAGTGGAGAGAGGTTGCGTGTGTGTGTGTGCACGTGCGCACTACACACTAGAATAGATTCTAGTGCAGAAAAAGTCCTGGGGAGTTCCAGGACTCCCCACTGCTGCCGCTGCCGTCGCCAATGCCTGCAGCTGCAAGAGCCCCACAGAAAAAGTTTGGGTGAGTGATGAAAAAGTTTTGGGTGAGTGAGTTCAGGGATTCCCTGCCGCCATCGTGCTGCCGATACCTGCAGCGGCAAAAGCTGCACCGAAAAAGTTTTGAGTGAGTTCAGGGATTCCCTGCCGCGGCCACGCCGCCGATGCCTGCAGCAGCAAAAGCCGCGCAGGAGAAGTTTCGGGGAGTGACCCTGAAGCTCCCGTTTCAACCCCTGCCTCCGCCTGCCACAGCCTGAAGCTCCTGTTTTGGGTGCAGCTGCTGCTGCTGCCGCCGCTGCAGCCAGGCATTTTCTCTCGGGTCTCCCAGTCTCACTCTCCTAGACTTTGAAGGAGGGAGGGAGGGAGAGAGAGAGAGAGAAAGAAGGAAAGAGGAAGGGAGAGAGAGAAAAAAGAAAGAATGAAAGAAAGGGAGAAGAAGGAAGAGACAAGAAAGAGAGAAAAAGAAAGAAAGCGGAGAGAAAGAAGGAAAGGAAGGGAGAGAGAGAGAGAGAGAAAGAGGGAAAGAGGAAGGGAGAGAGAGAAAAAAGAAAGAATGAAAGAAAAAGAGACAAAAAAGAGAAGGAGAGGAAGGGAGAGAAAGTCCTTGATTTATGACCAGAATTGAGCCCAAAATTTTGGTTGCTAAGCAAGAGCATTGTTAAGTGATTTTCACCACATTTTACTCAATCCATGATCTCTCCTGGCTCTAACAGTCATGTGCAAGTTAGGGAAGAACTATGCCATGTATCATCTTTTGCATTATTAAAGCTATTGTTATATATTATTTTCATTAGCAAACCATCCCATGACAATGGAACGTGTAGAGAAGAAAGTTAAAAAAAGAAAATATAGTGAGGATTTTTTACAGTATGGGTTTATCTCAATAATTACAGCAGGAATTGAGAAACCGCAATGTGTTATTTGTTGTGAAGTTCTATCAGCTGAATCTGTGAAGCCGAACAAAATAAAACGCCATTTTGATAGCAAGCATCCGAGCTTTGCCAGTAAGGATACCAACTATAGTATTTTAGAAGCAAAGCTGATGGACTCAAGAAAGCTAGGCTTGACGCTGGTGGCAAGTACTACAGACAAAACGTAGCAGCTGTTGAAGCTTCATATTTGGTGGCACTCAGAATTGCCAGAGCTATGAAACCTCACACCATTGCTGAGGATTTACTGTTGCCAGCGGCCAAAGACATTGTTCGAGTTATGATCGGAGATGAATTTGTTAAGAAATTGAGTGCAATTTCCTTATCTAACGATACTGTCCCCAGAAGAATAGATGATATGTCTGCTGATATTCTTGATCAGGTAATCCAGGAAATTAAATCTGTTCCACTTCCAATATTTAGTATCCAGCTTGATGAATCTACAGACGTTGCAAACTGTTCACAGTTACTGGTTTACGTGAGGTATATTAATGATGGCAACTTTAAAGATGAGTTTCTTTTTTGCAAACCTCTTGAAACGACAACTACTGCACATGATGTATTTGACACAGTTGGTTCATTTCTGAAAGAGCATAAGATCTCTTGGGAAAAGGTTTGTGGTGTTTGCACAGATGGTGCTCTAGCTATGCTATGATGTCGATCTGGATTTCAACGTTTGGTACTGAATGAGTCACCAAAAGTCATCAGAACTCACTGTATGATTCATTGGCAAATATTAGCAACGAAGACGCTGCCACAAGAGTTACAAGAAGTAATGAAAAGTATCATAAGTTCTGTCAATTTTGTAAAGGCGAGCTCTTTAAACAGTCAACTGTTTTCGCAACTGTGCAACGAGTGCTCTATTTCACACTGAAGTGAGATGGTTGTCAAGAGGAAAAGTTTTAAAACGTGTTTTTGAGCTTCATGATGAACTCAATTTTTTTTTTTTAATCAGAAAGCAAGACCGCAGTTTGAAGCACTTTTCAGTGATAAAAGTGAATTGCAGAAAATAGCTTACTTGGTTGATATCTTTGCTATCTTGAATGAGTTAAATTTATCACTGCAAGGACCAGATGCAACATGCCTCGATTTGTCTGAAAAGATCTGATCATTCCAAATGAAACTTCAGCTTTGGCAAAAAAAATTGGATGAAAATAAAATTTACATGTTGCCTACCTTATCTGCTTTCTTTGAGGAACATGACATTGAACCAGACAAAAAGATTATGATGATAATTTCTGTGAAAGAACATTTGCACATGCTTGCAGACGAAATTTCATTGTACTTTCCAAATCTACCTGACACCCCATTTGCACTTGCCAGAAGCCCATTCACAGTCAAAGTTGAAGATGTTCCTGAGACAGCACAAGAGGAGTTCATTGAACTTATTAACATTGATGCAGCGAGAACTGATTTCTCTACAATGCCAGTTACAAAATTCTGGATCAAGTGTTTGCAGTCATATCCTGTTCTGTCTGAGACTGTGTTGTGCCTTCTTCTTCCATTTCCAACAACATATCTTTGTGAAATAGGATTTTCCAGCTTGTTGGTTATCAAGTCTAAATACAGAAGTAGTTGTGGAAGATGATCTTCGTTGTGCTCTTGCAAAGACTGCCCCCAAAATTTCTGATCTGGTGAGAAAGAAGCAATCTCAACCTTCACACTGACGTTGGCTTTTTGCGCATACTGTTGCAAAATGTACCAATGTAGTTTACTGTTGTTATATTAAAACTGTTATCCATGCTACACCATGCTTCAAGACAAAATTTCATTTATTTGTAATTAGAAAAAATATTTCACAATATATAATTACATATTGTTTTTGTGATTAATCACTATGCTTTAATTATGTTCAATTTGTAACAATAAAAATACATTCTGCATATCAGATATTTACATTATGATTCATAACAGTAGCAAAATTACAGTTATGAGGTAGCAACGAAAATGATTTTATGGTTGGTGGTCACCACAACATGAGGAATTGTATTAAAGGGTTGCGGCATTAGAAAGGTTGAGAACCACTGGTATAGGGTATTGTACCAGCAAAACTATTCTCTCTCCACACCTTCTGAACTCCAGTCTCAACCTACCTCATGTATTGGAGGAAGAACCGGCTGTTTGCAGGGTCCTTATCATGCAATAAGGGGATGGAGGGAGGATGCTGAAACTCATAGAATATCACTTGGCAGGGGCAGCTATGGGAAAGATGTGCTAACTAGGTTTCACTGGGTGACAACATCTAAGCGAGGGGACCCAGAGGCACTTACTCTATCTTGCTCGGTCATATGGGCTTGTACCCTCAGAAAGAGGCCTTGCAAGTATCCTGGTTCTGTGCTATTCGTGGCTTGAAAAGTGATAACCAGCACTTTGTATTAAACCTGAGAAAAAAACCTGAAAGTCCATGCAGCATGACAGCCAAAAGAAGATTAGCTGTATAGCCTGTTACATGAGTCCAGCTGTGAAGGGACCAAATTGTGAGGGATTGTGAGCAAACCCTCTCAGTCTAGGAATGGGCAAAGTTGATGCAGGAGATGGCTCTGTGCAAAGCCAGCTAGCCACAGCTATCAGTTGCTCCTCAAGCAACAGTTGTGAGTCCAGAGGGAACCCAAATTGAACACCAGCTGTCTTGGGGAGAACTTACCCCATTGAGAATCAGGGTTGAGGGAGACCTCGTTTCTCCCTATCCCAAAATTCACAGCTTCAAGCACTGTGTAAGCACATGAATAGCATGGCCTGAGGGATCAGGATTCGTGGCTGCTCCTTTTTAATACCAGCAGTAGATGAAACCATTAGGTGAGACCATTTGGCAGGACGTGGTATACTACAGTATTATGTGGTCCTTTGCATGCTCCTTTCTTTCAGCTTAACCTAGAATGGAAAGTATGGAAGGCTTTCTTTGCTGGTGCCCAAAAACTGAGCTGTCTTTGCTGCAGAATCAGTGAGCCAGCCCAGAACTCTGGTTTATAGAAAAATGTCTTGGGAGGAAGGCTGCTCCTGATATGGAGATGATGTGCTCCATTTCACATGGGGGGAGCAGAGCCTGGCTTCTTCCCTTACACACAAAGTGGCAAGGGGCTTGTGCATTTCTGCTGCCTCTTTAATCAGCTGGGGAGATCACTGGGTGGAAAAGCAAGCAAAGCTTCCTATCCTTGGCTTGTGACACAGTGTGGCTTGATGGTTTGGTAGTGCTGCAGCTTGCTCTGGGCTGCCTATGCAAGGCCAGACCCATTCCGGTGGTCCCAGATACTTTATGGATACAATTAATTTATGGTGGAGAGCCTGGTTTGCCAGTGATCTTATTCTCTTGCCACAATTGCTTCTGAATAGTAAATTTGTTTGGGTGGCTCTTTTGTTTGTTTGTAAATTTACTTTGTTATTCAAAGTAAATAAATCTGATACATTTCTCTCCCCCCCCCCGTGTGTGTGTGTGTGTTTGACCAAGTGTCAGGCAATGACCAGTTGCCAGATAAATGGCTCTTTCAGAATCAAAACAAAATGAACACACCAGTTAATGAGATATCAAGCTTTATTAAGTACCTGTAGCAGGCAAATTAAATACAAGAAATATCAAGTCCAATGATCATTCTTTAGCTGCTAGGAACTCCATTTCAAGCAATGGAGATACTTTGAGGCTCTGGGTATATAGCCCTGAGTGCTCAAACCAGTGCAGAGCTCAGAGCTGAAAGGGCAATTTCATAGTTTTAAAGTTTGGCACCCAAATTCCAGGGTTATGGCAAGACCAAACCATGGCCCATAACTGTGGGATGGGCATGGAAGTTGAGAACTTTCCTAATAAGGCATACCTTCCCTTCTACAGAGGCTGCACTGTTATATTAGAAATGCTGCAGTCAGGGGAGCAATCCTGATTTTGGTTGATTCCTTTTCACCTTGAAAGCTTCCAGATCTGGTCCACCCCAGATACATTATGGATACAGTTGATTTCTGGTGAGAGCCTGGTTTGCCAGTGATCTTGGTCTCTTGGCTCAATTGCCTCTGAATAGTAAATTTGTTTAAATCCTTTGTTTGATTGTAAATTTACTTTGTTATTGAAAGTAACTAAATCTGATATGATAAATCAGATATATTTATGTGTCTTTCTGTATGTGTTTTTCACCAAGTATCAGGCAATGGCCCAGGGGCTGGATAAATGGCTCTTTTGGAATCCGAACACAATGAACACCGCAGTCAATGAGGAGATTTCAGGCTTTATTAAGTACCTGTAGAAGGCAAATTAAATAGAAGAAAACATCAAGTCATTTGAGGCTTCATTTTGTCTTGAGCTTCTGTCTTGTTTTCTGCAGTGTCTGCACTTGTTTGGCAGACACTCAGAGCTTCTTTTGCATTCACTACTGCTATGTCTCTGGTCCATCTGCTCTCTGCCCATCAATAAGGTGCAGCAGCCCTTCCTCAGTTGTGTCTCTCTGGAAAAAATCAGAATGTTAGCTGTAAATCTGGACCAATAACAAAGTATTGTTAGTTAAAAATGATGGGAACGGCTTTGATGTCAGGAAACTCTCACTCTGAAAGTATATATTATTATTGGGCAGAGGGGGTTGGAGGTTGAAAGATCTCTCCTATACATATCTTCCCATTCACGTCCGTGAGACTAACTCCTAGATTTCTATATGTAAAAGTATAATGAGACATAATTCATTAATTTCTTTCTAAAGTAAGGAGAATGTCAGGTTTTTCCAAGCTTTCTAAGATAAGGAGAACCTAATATGAAATTCTGGAACAAGAAGTTCGTGGTGGCGATCTAAAAATTTCTCACCTCCACAATCTTTCTTCGTAATCTCTGCAGAGCTCCTCTTTCTCATCACTTATTTCAATATTTTTGGATGTCAGCATCTCTGTCTTCATTTGGAGCTCTTTGTTTTCCAATGTTAGTTTCGACATCATTGCTACCTTTCTGTAAATTATGAGGACAAGAGATATTAGCCCTTTTCATTTTTTACTTGAATTACTAAGCATACCTACATTCTTTTTTTTTTATTGAAAAAGTTTTTCAAATACAGATTTCCCCCCCTTTCCCCCCCCTCCTCCCTAACCCCCCTCACCCCCCCTTCCCCTTTGACTTCTTCATAATAAAACCCAAATTCATAACAGATTATTTCATGCTTGACTATCCACTTACTCCATCTCCATATACTGACCCTTTCTTTCTAATAAAATTATCATACCCCCCTTATACTATGCTATAATGCATAGTTGCTATGCATTATAAATTACTATGCATTCTTAATTATTTTTGCATTCCATTATACCTATTGCTCTTCTCTTATTCAGTTATACATACATATAAAAGAATGGAACATTTCTTTCATCCAGTATATCTGGCTTAAGGGCTCTAATAAATAAATTTGAATTGGAAAGAAAAAATCAAGTTCGATCTAAATGTTTCTCACCTATAAAGGTCTTCTTTAAGGTCATTATTTTCTCGTAGGAGCTCTGCTTTTTCTCCAGCGTATTTCTGCACTTTGCAGCTGAGACACTCATTCTCTCGTCTGAGTTTGTCCAGCTGCCCAGGCTCATCTGAACTATTTTTTCTGTAAAATATCAAGAGTGGGCTGCAATCAGTCCCCTTAGGTTTTTTTATTTTATTTGATTATATGGTTTTTTTATTTATTTAAACTTGTTTAGAATTAAAACTAATTAAAATAGCTGAGAAAGGAAGAGAAAGGCAGGGTTTCTATCTAAAATTTTCTCACCTGTTCAGCTTTTCTTCATACTCTTCGCAGAGTTCCTCTTTTTCTTTGACCAATTGGAGAGTCTTATTTATAAGCTCCTGAATTTTTAATGCCAGCTCCTCTTTTTCTGCCAGCAATTTTGACATTGTCTTTCTGCAAATTATGAAGACCAAAGAGAAATTAGCCCCCTTAGGGGTTTTTTACTTGAATTATCAACCTTTTTATTCAATTTCAACATATTAAAAATACCTTCATGTGTGTGTATCAATACACAGGAAATAATGCTTTAACCATTTATTTTTCTTTTTTTTATACATTCCACGAAAGACACAAACAAATTCAAAATGATTTTCAGAAGCAAAGTAAAGTTATAGATGGAGAATATGGGGAAAGTTCTCACTGCTCACAAATGCCTAACTGTCCACATATCCCAAACAAGTTGCTTCCGCAGTGATTAAGGCAGTACCTTGTTTATGAGGGAGCACGAGATAACAAGGCAGTCATTATGAGAGGTTCTATTTAAAAAGAAATTCAACTGTTGCTATTCCCACCTTATTTCCCAAGCTTTACTAGAATATAATTTTCATCACTTGTTTGATAAAATGGCCAGTCCAATTGCCAGTGTAGAAATTATGAATGTTGTATTGAAAGTGTGAACTTAATAGGATTATGCAAAGATTTGATGAACTATGCCAAGACTTACATATAACTCTGGTCCCTCGCTCTCTTCAGATCTACTTCCAGTCTTTCAGTTTTTGTCTGAACAATCTAGAGAAGTCAAAATACATCACAAATCAGGAATATATTTCCATATCAGCCCACTCACTATCCCCCACCCAGACTACCCTGTCAGATGTAAATGCCTTATTCTCCAATGTGTAAATAATGTATATATGGAACATCAGAGGTTAACTTATTCTTTGGACTTTAATGTATTCATAACTTACCACTCCCATTCCTAGCTCCACCCCTTGTATATATAAGGAGCCACCCTCACCATTCTCGTTGCTTCTACCTCGAATATTCAGTGAATATAGAATGCCTATCATAATTAAAAAGAAATATATTTAAAGCTTTAACTTCTATTATCTTTATTGAGTCTGATCCTGAAAATATTGCAACATACCCCATCACTCACACTGGGCTTCTTCACCTTTTGTTATGACATGAACTATTTCTCTTTAATGGACACTCAAAGGATTCCTCCGATGCTAGTTTGCTTACCTGATGGGAACGCATCTTTAAACTTAAATCCTGGCCCATGTGCATTTCTGGACACCTGGAAACCTGGCAGTTCCGTGAAGAATGAAAAGCATAAAATGAATTTTAGACATTTGCTTGATAATTTTCTTCATTTCATGGTCATGAGAAGAATTACATGAATTTGTTTTCCATAAATTCTCTGTCATGTCAGTGTAAAGAAGATATTAGTTGAAACTTCCTCTTTAGAAAAGAATCTGGGGTGTAGACAAGCATATTTGTGCATATTAAAATCATGCATGTCGAGATGAGCACAAACATGTGCAACTCCCAATTTATTGCTGTAGATGTTCAATACAGGCAATAAAGATTATTCACGTTGGGATGGGAAAAAAATCTAATTTTAGTTAATTTGTTTAGGGAATGTAAAACACAGTGGTTTAAACAAAATATGAATTATCTAAATTTTATTTCACTGCTATTGGTATTGTATGTGGCCTCAGAATATAGCTAATGTGGCAAAGAAAGAACCAACCAAGAATTAGATGAACTCTGATAATTGCCATTCTTTAATAGAAATTACAAATAAACTAGTTTGTATTGAATAGGTGTGTGTGTATGGATTTCATATATGTAATAGAAATATAAAGGGAAGATATATACTATATAAAATATGCCGCACATGCATTATTAACAATTACCAATTGTGAAAAAATCATTTATTTTCATTTTTCTCATAAATATATTCTAAGGTGAGCTATAAGTATACATTATATACCTCAGCACGTCTCCATTCTTCTGTGGTAGATGACAGAAGAGGAAGTCTGGATGTTTCTTCCTGCAATGACAAAATATCCCATTTTTAAAAAAACCAAATTGACAGTGATTAAAGCCACTAATTTTTCTAACAACAGCTCTATGTGACTTGGGTTGTTGTTAAACATAGTTTCATCTTCAAGTCTGAGGTGCCAACTGTATCTCTGGCACCTAATCTTTGAACCCTTGCCTGGAAATTCACACTACTGAATAAAATAAGATTTTGATATTCTTCCAGAACTGAAGAAACTTCTTGGATGAGAATCTAAATATCTTCAACGAAAACAAAAAGGAAAGTCCAGTTTCCTCTTGAAAAAGCATCTTGGGGATAGGAATGGGACAGATAGGAAGTCCTTCTACTATATCCCCAAACAGCCCTTTCATTTTAAGTGGAAAGTGCAGAGAAAATAAAAGTACTCCTGCTAAAGTCAAGTAAAATCTCAATTAGCAACTTGGTCTATTAAATACTTTAAATCAATATTTACAATGACCTAAGGTAGCTCTGCAAATTCATTGATTCATTCATCCAACTTATATGGCTGCCCAACATGCAATAGAGACTCTGGGTCTCTCTCTTTGCTTTCCTTCTACTTATTTGTGTTTGATTCTCAGGGACTGGCTGGATGAATCCCTGCAGTTTTCATGCAAGGTTTTTCAGAAGTGGTTTGGTGTTGCCTTCTTCCTAGGGCTAAGAAAAGGTGACTGGCCCAGGGTTACCTTTGTGCCTAAAGTGGAGCAAGAAATGTCAGTCTCTGGGTTTGCAGGCTGATGCCAAACTGGCTTTCTTGGGTTGCTAATATAAGCTAACAATGTATTTCAAAAATAAAGTCCAAAACAAAACCTATACTGGCAACTGAGGATAAACAGAAACCACAATTAATATTCTGTCTGTCTGTCTGTCTGTCTGTCTGTCTGTCTGTCTGTATCTACTGTAACTACCTACCCTATCATCCATCTCTCTCTCTCTCCCTCTCTCCCTCTCTCTCTCTTATCTATCTATCAACCTACCTACCTACCTACCTAAAATTTCTATACGTTCCACCACACATTTGCTGTGACAGTCTATGAACAAATGTTTTCTCTTACCTCTTTTTGGAGACATTTCATGTTTTCTCTTAATTTTCTCAACAAATCGTTTTCCATCGCAAAATCAGTGATGGAAACTAAAGATAAAGTAATATGAGAGAATGCAGAATAGTTTTGACATTTTTATTTCAAAAATTGGAATGTAGACTTGAGAGACAATGTCTAGAATAGCACATGATTTTTAAATTATATTTGCCCTCCAATTCCTCTAATCTGATCCTTTAGGACAAGTGTTGAGTACAAGTAACATAAAAAGATAAGCAAATAAATGTTTCTTTTCCTAAAGGATGTAGAGAAATAGTCACAATAATGAAAAATGTGATTGGTAAATTAAAATACAAAACATAAAAATATTGGCCTCTAAAGACCATACTAAAAATAAGTGTTTTGTATATTTTATAAAGACAGAGCTGTAGCCAAATGCAGCTGCCTCAAGAGTGTCTTTTAAACTCTGGGAATGAGGCAGGAAAAGGCCATCTCCCATCTGCCTAATAGTTCAGACTCAAAGAGCAGCAGAGCTTCTGGGTTTCTCCTGCAGACTGTAACATCTGCTGAAACACATTCTCTTCTGTAATCAGGCTCTAAATGCTTCAAAAGGCAACTCCCATTGCCTCCCCTAATAACTGAGGGAGACACAGTCCAATCTTCCTGGATAGCACCTGATTGCCCATCCCTCTCCAGGAGTTTTCACTTTCCACATTATAACAAGAAATATCAACACTAACTTTGTTTTAAAAATGTAAATCCTACTATGTAGGGGATACAATCACGGATCTGCTAAACTATCTAGAACTGTGATGGCGAACCTATGGTACGCGTGCCACAGGTGGTACACAGAGCCATATCTGTGGGCACACAAGCATTGCCCTGGCTCAGCTCCAGCGCGCATGTGCGCACCGGCCAGCTGATTTTCAGGCCTTCCGGGCCCACCAGAAGTCAGCAAATGTGCTGTTTCCGGCCTCCGGAGGCTTCCAGAGGGTTGTTTTTGCCCTCCCCGGGCTCCAAGAAAGCCTCTAGTGCCTTGGGAGGGCGAAAAACAGGCCTACCGGGCTCACCATACCATCATGTGCCAAAAGCAGGGGGAGCACGGGGGGGGCACACGAATGCATGGGAGGGGGGGCGCATTGGATTATGGATGTGAGCACCTGTGCTCCCCCCGCTTTTGGCACATGATGGCAAAAAGGTTAGCCGTCACTGATCTAGAATAACTGGCCGTGAATATTCCCCATGAAGAGTCTTTTAAGTCAAGGAACATTTTTCTTTTTCATACCACAACAGACACACACAATTTCGAGAGGCAACAATTTTGATTTAGTGTATGAGAAATGTTTTCATTTTATTCCCAAATGCCAATCTGCAAAGGTAGCCCAAAAGTTGCTTTCTCACAGTTTAGACAGTACCTTTTTGTGAGATTGCATGAGATCACAACTGCATCAATAAAATTTGCAATAGTGATGAGAGCTTCATATGAAAAAGAAGCTCATTGTATTGGGGCCACCAACGAATAGCAGAGATCTTCTTGGTATTCTATATTTGTTCTATAATTTATCTGCCTTTAAAATGGGAATTAGCAACAAAATTTTACAGACATCCGCCAAGGTGTCTGCCCCCCAATTTCGAAGTAAAAACTAAATACTGAAAGCAAACATGTCATCAAGGCTTGGTGCGAGATGTAATGACATCTCAGTGCTTTTTCTCGAAGTGTGACTTGTGACCCACTGAGAAAGGAAGAGGAAGTCAGGGTTACTAGCTCACCTGCTCAGCTTTTCTTCATACTCTTTGCAGAGTATGAAGAGTTCCTCTTTTTCTTTGGCCAGTTGCAGATTTTTATTCGTAAGCTCCTGAATTTTTAATTTCAGCTCCTCTTTCTCTGTCAGCAGTTTTGACATTTCCATTGTCTTTCTGCAAATTATGAAGATCGGAGAGAAATTAGCTCCCTTTGTAAAAGAATGAGCTTTTTTACTGAAATGATCACTCTTTTTCTTCAATTAAAACACATTAAAAATACCTTCATGGGTGGGTGGGTGCGTGAGCGCGCTTTCGTGCACCACGTTTGTGCGTGTACGTCAATGCACAGGAAATAATGCTTTGACCATTTATTTTCCTTTTTTTCTAAATATGTTCCATGAAAGGCACAAACAAATTCAAAATGATTTTCAGAAGCAAAGTAAAGTTATGGATGTAGGATATGGGGAAAGTTCTCACTTTTTTTTTTTTTTTTTTATAATTTGATTTATATGCCGCCCTTCTCCGGAGACTCAGGGCGGCTTACAATGCATTAAGCAATAGCCTTCATACTTTTGTATATTTTATACAAAGTCAGCTTATTGCCCCCACAAACTGGATCCACCTACCTTAGAAAGGATGGAAGGCTGAGTCAACCTTGAGCCTTGGAGAGGTTCGAACGAGCAGTAAATTGATTCGAACCAGCAGTAAATTGCAGGCAGCTGTGTTAATAACAGGGTGCGTAGACCACTGTATTATCAAGGCTCACTTCTCACAAATGCCTAACTGTCGACATATTTCTTTCTTTTTTTTTTTTATTGAAAAAGTTTTACAAATATCAATTTTTCCCCCATTTCCCCCCCATCCCTCCCTAACCCCCCTAAACCCTCCCCTCTTCCCATGACTTCCCCAAGGTGAAATCCATCCATCCACATTATATTATATCATACTTTACCACCCCTCTATTCTCCCCCCTGTGCACTATACATTTCTACATAACAATAAGCTATTTTGCCCCCTATAAACTATACATTTCTACACAACATTCAGCTAAATGCTAACTGGTACTTCCTAGTTTGATATTTATTCTGCACATAATCTATCCATTTCTTCCACTCCCATGCATAAGTCTCCTGAGTCCGGTCTTTTAGATATGCTGATATCTTGGCCATTTCTGCAAAACTGGCCATCTTCAAAGTCCATTCTTGAATTGTAGGCATATCATCCCTTTTCCAATATTGACCAATCAATAACCTAGCTGCTATCACCATATACAATATCAATTTTGTTTCACCCACTGAAAAGCCCTTAACTATACCCAGTAAAAACAATTGAGGAGAAAATAATTTTTTTTTCCAAGACATTTTGCATAACCCACCAAATTTTTATTCAAAAAGCCTTTGCTTTCTTGCATGTCCACCATATATGATAATATGTAGCATCTAAACAATCACATCTCCAACATTTTGGTTGAACATCAGGATACATGCATGACAATTTCTTAGGATCTAAATGCCACCTATAAAACATTTTATAAAAATTTTCCTTCAAATTCTGCGACTGTGTGAATTTAACATTCTGAACCCATATTTTTCCCCAAGTTTCCATCATAACTGGTTCTCCAAAATTTTGCGCCCATTTTATCATACAATCTTTAACCAATTCATTTTCTGAGTCTCTTTCTAACAAAACTTTATAAACCCTCTTAATATGCATTGGGCCTTTCTCTTTTATCTGTCTAACCAATTCTTCTTCATGGAACATTAATCCAATTTTTTGATCTTCTCTCCATCTCAGTTGAAGTTGATTATACTGTAACCAGGTTAAATTAATCCCTTATTCCAACAGTGTGTTTAATGACTTCAATTGCCATCTGCCCCCATCATTCAAAAGTACTTCTTTATATAAACCCCCCCGAGTGACTTTATATTTATATTCCATATAATATGACCAAGATCCAACCACAACGGTATTTTATAATCCCATTTGAGTCGGTGCTTCTTCCATACTCTCATCAAGGAGCTTCTAAGTATATGGCTGTTGAACACTTTATCCACCTTGTTTTCATAGAATAAATATGCATGCCAACCAAATTCAGGATCAAAACTCTCAATATTCAATATTCCAGTCTTTGTCCTTCCAAACCAATCACTTGCTTGTGTAAATGCTGCTGCTTCATAATACAATCGCAGGTTTGGAAGTTTAAGACCACCCCTTGCACGAACATCTTGCATAATTTTCAGTTTAACTCTTAGCTTTTTCTCATTCCAAACAAACTTATTCACTCCTTTTTGTCATTCCGTCAAATGTTTATCGCTTTTAAGCACCGGAATCATTTGAAACAAAAATAAAAATCTAGGTAGAACATTCTTTTTCCAGGTTTCCATATCCTTTTGTACCTTTCGCCACAACACCTCATAGTTATTTTGAAACAGTTTTATATTTGAATCTGCAACTTGGACTCCTAGATATCTCACCTTTGATACTATTTCAAAGCCTGCCTTCCTTTCAAATTCCTTCTTTTGATCAACTGTCATATTTTTAACTATCATCTTGATTTTTTTCTGATTCAGTCTGAATCCTGATACCATACCATATTCTTCTATAACGCCTTTCATCTGAATTATTTCAACAAGTTGGTCTCTCAGAGATAGTAGTACCGGGGACTTCCGGTTGGTGCCTCAGGGACACAGATGGAAATGGCAAGCTCCGTAGAGCTTCGCCAAAACCCTGTCTGCTAAGCTGCCGCCGACAGGTCTGCGGACCTCCCCTGTCTTGAAGGGACAGGGGGACAAGAAGGGACCCCTTTGACGGCCGAGAGGAATGGGCAGGTTCCTCGGGGCTGGAGGCTTTCCCTTCACGTTGGCGGCAGTGGAACGACAGCCATGGCGGCTGTCCTGTTCCTGCGGCAGCTGGGAACAAGGATCGTGCTGGAGAAGAGGAGGAGAAGCGGAGAAGAATAGAGAGCGAACGTCTCGAAGCTGGGTGAGTGACACCAATCCAGGCAAAACAACACACATATTTGGACTTTAAAAAATAAGACCCCAAACTTCAAATAGCAGCTACAGAGCCGTGGGGCTTGAAGATTTAAAAGAAAAAGAAAAAAAATAGAATGAGGACCTGAAATAGTCTTTGTTTTATTAAATTTGGCTTAGAAGAATTGACTTTTAACAACCCAGTAAATTGACTTTGCTTTTATTTGGAACGGTTTGGAGAAATGTCTCCTTGGGAATTTACACCTTTGAAAGTTAAGCTAATGAAGATAGACAGACGGATGGCTACAAAATTGCCATGGAGTCTGCAGTGACTAAGCAGGAAAGTGGATTGAGGAGATTTCCCTTTCTGTTTGAAAAAGGAACATTTTAAATGGCTTTTTACTTTGGATTGCCTTGAAATTTACATTGGATTTATGGACTTTGGAGGTTTCTATTCTGTCCCAGATGATTTTAAGAAGAAAGAAGGAATATTTTGGACATTAGACAATGGAAATTAACAAGCCTTGGAAAAAAAAATTAGGTGTGGCGCAGGAAAAAAAGACAGGAAGTTGATGCACTACACACGGAACAGACATTATAAAATCATTAAAGGAACATACAGAATTTTTTAATTCGAACGGATGAACTTTGAAATGGAACAATTATGGACAGATAGAAAAAGGAAGAAAAGGAGGAAATAAAGTAATAAATTTTAAATGTAACTGAACTGAAATGTAAAGATTAAAAGCCTAAAAATATATATGATTTTTGGATAAAAACAGAAAAGCTTTTTGAGTAATAAAAATAGAAAATAAGAGATGGCAATTAAAATAGAGGATGATATACAGGTGGTCAAAAACAAGAGTGGGAGTCCTGGAGAAGACTATGCTGGAAATCAGCCAAACATAATATGCTGGAAATCAGCCAATAAAATGCTGGAAATCAGCCAAACAAACAGGAGGAGAGTTGGAGGAGAATATGCTGGAAATCAGCCAAACAATGGAGGGAGTATAGGAGGAAACTATGCTGGAAATCAGCCAAATATAATATGCTGGAAAGCAGCCAATAACAATGATAGGCTTGGAGGAGATTATATTGAAATTAGCCAAAAATATTTGGTGTTCTGGAGAAAAATATGTTGGAAACCAGCCTAACAGAATATGTTGAATAATAGCCAAATAACAGAGGGAGGTATAGAAGAAAATATGCTGAAAATTAGACTAAACAAAACATATTTTTGTGATAAATCTGTGTAACATGAAAAGAGTAATAGATGACAAGGGAGATAAAATCAAAGATAAATTGATAAAGTTTAAGATATTAAGAATTAAGGAAAGGGTCAAGAGACTAAGAATTAGATAGAACTTTGCTTTATAAAGTGTAATAAGAATGGAGTGGTATAGAATTTGAAATCAAGATTTGTGGTGATAAAATTGTAAAGTAAATAATTAGAACAAGAGGTTAGAATATTGTTTAAAAAATTCTTTTTTGATACTGATGGAAAAAGATATAAGGAGAAGAAGAACAAGATATGATTAAGATTGATTAATAGAAATAAAAATGAGTGAGTTAATTTGAAATTGTATCAAATTGTATTGATATAATAGATTTGTTTAGATGATGATGTTAGAATTTATATTAAAACTTGTTCTTATAGGTTTCGAACTTTTACTGTAGAGCTTGGACTAAATTTTTTTTTATGTTTTGATTTTGAATTTTAAAAGATATAATGGGAAATTGTGAATGGAGCCTTTTTAAAATGTAAGCAATTGTACCTATTCATGACCGGATCGAGACTTCGCTCTCGAAAGAGATGTATTTAAAGTGTTATGTGGGAAAAAAAAAAATATTTTGGAAAAAAAAAAAAGAGATAGTAGTACCTTGTTTATGAGGAGCGTATATTAATTGTATTAATACCCTTGTTATCTCGTGCTCTCGCAGTACCTTGTTTATGAGGGAGCATAACAAGGGTATTAATAAACCCATAAGTTAATAAACAGCAAATTGTTACTAAACTCTTTTCAGAAGTCATTCTGTAGTGTAGAGGATACCTAAAATGTTTGTGCACCACATAAAGGTATGGCGTATGCCATGATTTACGCATAACTCTGGTTCCTCGCTCTCTTCAGATCTACTTCCAGTCTTTCGGTTTTTGTATGAACAATCTAGAAAAACAAAAATACATCACAAGTCAGGAATATATTTCCTTTTTTTTTTTTAATGAAAAAGTTTTTCAAATACAGATTTCCCCCCCTTTTCCCCCCCTCCTCCCTAGCCCCCACTAACCCTAACCCTCCCCCTCCCCTCCCCCCATGGCTTCTTCAAGATAAAATCATTGACATCAAATTAAATAATACTTTACCATCCTTTTACACCACCGCCCACATGCTAACCATTTCTTTCTAACATTGTTATTATATCCCCCTTATACTATACATTTCAAAGCAACCTTCAGCTATAAAATTATGTAATAAATCCTAATTTGGCATTTATTCAACTCAAAATCTACCCATTTCCTCCACCCCCATACATATATCTCTTAATTCGAATTTTTTATGTATATTAATATCTGAACCTAACATCCCTTTTCCTAAACTAAACAATCAGTAACCTAACCTATCTCCACCCCTTTTCCTACAGGTCTACCATACATAGTATTTTAATATCTTTGATCTTCTGCCCACACCACACCACTAAGAAATATTTCCATAAATAAACAAAATCCTCAAATGACTTTAAGTAATCCATATAATATCTTCTGTAATGTCTTTCAACTAGATTATTAATTCCATCGCCCATGTAAGGGTAACATCAAGTTCTAGTTCCAACAGTATGTTCAGTATCTTCAATTACAATCTGCCCGCATCAGTAATGAATATTTTCGTATATAAAAAACCACCCGAGTGACTTTATATTTATATTCCATATAGTATCTTCTGTAGTGTCTTTCATCTAGATTATTAATTCCAACCACCGTGTTAGGGTAACAACCAGATCTTCTGCATGCCCCAATCCCATAGTTCTCATGCCTTATAGCTCAACATATACGTAATCGATTTTTCAAAGAGTCCAGAATAGAAAGTTCCAATCCACTCAGTTGGAGGCCATCTTCCACATCCCAAAAACACAACACTGCAGAGATCTGTTATTCTTCTCAAAATAGTATAAGTCAATAATTTGCCTCAGCTATATTTTCATATATCATCCATCTATAAGTCCCGCTTATTATATTTAAACGTCTCTTAAGTAACTGGCATTAGACTGTTGTTTAGTCTAAAATTTTTTAGTTTTGTAGGACCTGCTTCTTCTCTTCTTAACTTTTTGTGGTTTAGATCTCCATCCTGGTTGCCTTTCTAGGACTTGTATATCAGCTGATTGATTTCCATGCTGGTCTGTAACTTGATAAGACATCACATTAAAATCCAAAGCCGCCTCTCTTGTATTTATAGATAATCCAGCTATAATCTCTGAAGGAGAATCCAAAAGCGACTCGTCCGAAGGGGCCTCTGTAACTTGTTGTTTTTCCATTACCTCCATCTCCATCTGCTTAGCCTGGGTTTCAATCTCTTGTTCATTTCACATTTCTTTATTCCCGTCCTGTCCTAACACTGATGGTCTACATGGAGATGTTGAATCCTTTTTGAGAACCTTGTAGTAAAATTCTTCCGCTTTTCCAACGGTATTTAATTGATATCTTTCTCCTTGGTATCTCAATATTATGCCAACTGGAGCATCCCACCTAAATGGGATGTTTTGTTTCTTTAGCTCAGTCACCAAAAATCCAAATTCCTTTCTGTCCTTTAATATTTTAGACGGCAGCTCTTTATATATCCAAATCTTCCTTCCGTTCATTTCTAGAGTGGAGTTAAAAGACTTTTGCACAATATCATTTCTTATTCCTTTATCAGTAAAGTAAATCACCACATCTCTAGGCAACTGCTTTTGCTTTGCCACCCAAGAATTTACTCTGTAGGCCTTGTCAATCTTACAGGATACCTCTTCAGGACTAACCTTTAAAATCACAGCCAGAACTTCAGCAGACATCTTTCTCAAATCATCTCTATTATTTTCCTGTAGTCCCATTCTGACCGCAAATTGCATGGACCTGTATTGCATCATTGTGACTTCTTTTCTCAATCCTTTGTTTTATATTATCTGCATTATAAGTCTCGTAATCAGCTTCCTTTTTAGACTTTACTTCTGAGCAAATGTCTTGAATATTTATCAAATCATTTTCAATTCTTTGTATTTTATTGTCCAGATTATAAATTTTATGATCAGCTTCCTTCATTTTAGACTCTAGTTCTAAGTTGGTATCTTTATCCATCTTTATAACTATTTCTGAAAAAGTTTTCAAAGTTGTTACAATCTGTTGTTTCAGATTGGCATATTTTTGTTGTACCAACTCCTTAATTTCCTGCCTGAATTTTTCAAGATTCTGGTTCACAATCTCATCATGTCTTGCTATCTCTTCCAAGACAAATTCGTTTAAGTCTTTAAAGCCATTCTTCTGAGTCTGCAAGTTCAAAACTTGTTCATATGGTTTGTAAAAGGGGGAGCCCCCCCCCCGCTGCTTGTTTGTCTGGCTTTATCAGTTTTAATGCCATCCTGCCTCACAGACAAACTCTTTTTAAAGAAAAAGACTTCTCTCCAAACGATATCAATATCAAGTCTCCAAAAAGGAAGAAACATAAAATAGAAATTTTTCTTTTCAATTCTAGCCAGCGCTATTATTTCTGCTACTTTGTAACGTGTTAAACTATTCAGGCGGAAGGACTTTCGCTTTCAGCTTTCTTCTTCTCAAGCCTCAGCCAGTCGCCATTTTAAACTTTTTCTCCTTCGCTTTAAAATCACTTATAAAATTGTTAGAAATACTTGCGATTTAGGGTCCCAAATCCGGATTTCATCCTATTTCTTTAAGCAATCTGTTGATTTTCATTGAATGGATTGATTCCGTCACCTGGCTCTGCAAAAAGCAGAGTTCCCTCGAAGCCCGGAGCAGCGGCGAGCTGTATGGGGAGCCACATTTTGCTTCCTCCCCAAGAGTAATAAAAAACTCTGGGGAGTTCGCAGAGGGCTCTACCTGCCCTCGCCGGCTCTATCTCACGTCTCCTTGAGGAGACGGAGTTTTTCGAGCTGTCTCTCAGCTGTAGAGACGGCTCTTTACAGGCAACGAGGCTGGCGGTCCCGAAAGACCGTCTGGCGGCGACGGAAGTCAAACCGGAAGCCCCAGGAATATATTTCCATATCAGCCCACTCCCTACCCCCAGGGAAGCTATTTCCAGACCTTCTGATCCGTGAACTAACCTCTTAGTTACAGAATGATATCTCATTTTGTTTATGTCTAGGTAGGGCAAATTCACATGGGCTGTGGACCAGTAATATGTATTTTTAGGAAAAATGCTTCCTCTTCATACATCGCACATAGAAACAGAGGCGTGCATCTAAAATTGTTGTCATTGCTGACTGATCTAATTTCTAAACTAATGCTTAAATGCATTTCTTCAGCTAGCTCCTTGGTGACAGCTTTTCTGATATCTCACTTGGCTTGAGATTTCTTGATAGGCTATCAGGGAAGACTATTTAACTTTGATGGTTATCTTCCTGAATCATCCAGCTCTCACTGGCATAATTCCTAGTTCACAAGGATCTCTTTGTTTTAGTGAGTTGTTGGTACAGGTGACACAGCCTGTATGGCATATGCAATCTTGGTCTATCCTTTCTTTGTCCGTGCTCTACGGTTGTCTATCCATTCTTGGCATTTTGGCATAAATCATGCTTGTCGTTTGGCCCTTCTTTCCTTTTCTTCCTCCATATCAATCGCTTCTTCTTTCCTTTTTCCTTCCACTCTCTTTCTTTTCTCCTCCCACCCAACTTAAGGCAGCGTCTAGATAATCGCAATTGTTGATGACAAGCGTTCATTGGTTATGAAGCTCCTGCTGTAATACCAACGTCCATTAGGAAAACAGTATGCCACTCACTCCAAAAGGCCCAAGAAGTTTTGGAAAACCACAACAATAAATACTTGCTGATAGGTTTCCAGTTTGTACATTTGGTCATCTTGATCCCAGTAACCCTAGAAGCAGCAGAAATGAGAGACAAGTCTGTACCAAGATGGGATGGGATGGGAGGTTTCAGGCTCTTCCCCATGGAGGTGATTTAAAACTATCTCAAGCTACTCATTCACATATTGCACGATTTCTTCAGGACGTTTTCTATGCATTCCAAGAGCCATTCTTTCTGGCTTCTTCCGGGGATTCTCGTCTGAGGTTTTTCAGAGATGGTTGTAGCCATGCTTGCATATCTGTTTTGGATGCACTAGGACCATTCTTTCTGAACTTTAGCTAAAGATGCTTGAAGCCATCCATCCACCCATAAGTTTCTTTCAGAGCAAGCAGGTTCTACCCAAATCACCCTCTCCTTCCTCTTTACCATGCTTGTTTTTGATTCCTTAGAGTATTTGAGATCCTGGATGCCCTTGATAGATGCTTCAGGACATTCCCGAGTACCTAGATGGGGTGCTTCAGGTCCTTCCTCTTTGAAGCTATTTACAGATATTTCAAGCCATTTTTGGCATCTTGCTTGTATGTTTCAGGACCTTTCCAAGTTTTTCAGGGATCGTTGAAGCCATTTTTCCAGATGCGGTATGGGTTCTTCAGAAAATAAAAAGCTTTCTAAGGATCCTTGAAGCCATTGTAAACTATTTTCCATGGGTCCTTCGGAACATTGCTTCTTGAGGTTTGCTATTGATTTTTCAAACCATCTCTTCCTCAGAGTTCTTTTAATCTCTACCGTGGACTTCTGTAGATCCTGAACGCCTTTAATAGAGGCTTCAAGCCATTCCCGAGTACCTAGGTGTCCTTCCTCCTCAAGATTCTTTATAGATATTTCAAGTCATTTTTTGGCATTTGTTTAGATACTTTAGGACCTTCGTCTTGCAGGTTTTTTAAGGATTGTCGAAGCCATTTTTCAAGAACTGGTCTAGGTTCTCCAGAAAGTGACAGGCTTTCTAAGGATCCTTGAAGCCATTCTAATCTATTCACCAGAGATCCTTCAGGACATTGCTTCTTGAGGTTCTCTATTGATTTTTCCAGCCATCCCTTTTTTCTGGCTCGACTTGGATTTTTGTAGATGTTGAATGCCTATAATAGATGCTTCAAGCCATCCCTGCACATCTAAATCACAGGTTTCTGGCCCTTCTTCTTGGAAATGATTTATCGATGTTTCTAGCCAACCATTCACATCCCCCCTGGATGCCTCAGCACATTCCTTCGGGAGGTTGGTGGTGGATGCTTTAAGCCATTCGGGCAGGGGGTACAGTTCAGAGGAATCCTCTTTCAGGATTTTCAGCGATTGCTGAAGCCACCTCAGTATATTTTGCCCGGGTTCCTTAGATGTTCTGATTTTGAGGCTGTCTACTGAAGCCTTAAGCCATTTCTTATTTAATTGATATCTCAAATTGATTTGAGGCTTCGTTTTGTCTTGAGCTTCTGTCTTGTTTTCGGTAATGTCTGCCCTTGTTTGGCAGAGACTCACAGAGCCTCCTTTGCTCTCTCTGCTGCTGGGTCTCTGCTCCATCTGGTCTCGGTCCATCATTAAGGGGCAGCGGCCCTTCCTCAGTTGTGTCTCTCTAGAAAAAGCCAGAAGGTTAGATGTGAATCTGGACCAACAACAAAGCATTCTTAATTAAAAAGGATGGGAACTGCTTTGATGTCAGGAAACTCTCACTCTTGTGTCTAAAGTGTGTAGAAGTGTATGAATATTGTTGGGCAGCGGGGGTTGGAGGTTAAAAGATCTCTCCTATACATATCTTCCCATTCACTTCCATGAGATTAACTCCTAGATTTGTATATGTAAAAGTATAATGAGCCATAATTCATTAATTTCTTTCTGAAGTAAGGAGATGTTCAGGTTTTCCCAAGCTTTCTAAGATAAGGGGAACCTAATGTGAAATTCTGGAACAGGAAATTCATGGTGGCTATCTAAAAATTTCTCACCTCCACAGTCTTTTTTCGTACTCTCGGCAGAGCTCCTCTTTCTCGTCGGTCAACTCAATATTTTTGAAGGTCAGGATCTCTGTTTTCATTTCGAGCTCTTTGTTTTCTATCGTTAGCTTTGCTATTACTGCTCTTTTTCTGTAAATTATGAGGACAAGAGATATTAGCCCTCTTCATTTTTACTTGAATTACTAAGCATACCTACATTCTTAATTATTTTTGCATTCCATTATACCTATTGCTCTTCTCTTATTCAGTCATACATACATATAAAAGAATGGAACATTTCTTTCATCCGGTATATCTGGCTTAAGGGCTCTAATAAATAAATTTGAATTGGAAAGAAAAAATCAAGTTCGATCTAAACATTTCTCACCTATAAAATTCTTCTTTAAGGTCATTATTTTCCCGTAGGAGCTCTGCATTTTCTCCAGCATATTTTTTAAGCTTGCAGCTGAGACTCTCATTTTCTCGTCTGAGTTTGTCCAGCTGCTCAGGCTCATCTGAACTCTTTTCCCTATAAAATATCACGAGCAGAGTGAAATTAGCCCCCTTAGGGTTTTTTATTTGAATCATAATACTCGTTTAACTTTAAAACTAATTGAAATAGCTGAGAAAGGAAGAGGAAGTCAGGGTTACTAGCTCACCTGCTCAGCTTTTCTTCATACTCTTTGCAGAGTATGAAGAGTTCTTCTTTTTCTTTGGCCAGTTGCAGATTTTTATTCGTAAGCTCCTGAATTTTTAATTCCAGCTCCTCTTTCTCTGTCAGGAGTTTTGACATTTCCATTGTCTTTCTGCAAATTATGAAGATCGGAGAGAAATTAGCTCCCTTTGTAAAAGAATGAGCTTTTTTACTTGAATGATCACTCCTTTTCTTCAATTAAAACACATTAAAAATACCTTCATGGGTGGGTGCGTGCGTGCGTACGTGCTTTGTGCGCCACATTTGTGCGTGTACGTCAATGCCAGGAAATAATGCTTTGACCATTTATTTTTCTTTTTTTCTAATAATGTTCCATGAAAGGCACAAACAAATTTAAAATGATTTTCAGAAGCAAAGTAAAGTTATGGATGTAGGATATGGGGAAAGTTCTCACTGCTCACAAATGCCTAACTGTCGACATATTTCAACAAGTTGGTCTCTCAGAGATAGTAGTACCTTGTTTATGAGGGAGCGTATATTAATTGTATTAATACCCTTGTTATCTCGTGCTCCGCCGGACGTTGTTTATGAGGGAGCGTAACAAGGGTATTAATAAACCCTCAAGATAATAAACAGCAAATTGTTACTAAACTCTTTTCAGAAGTCATTCTGTAGTGTAGAGGATACCTAAAATGTTTGTGCACCACATAAAGGTATGGTGTATGCCATGACTTACGCATAACTCTGGTTCCTCGCTCTCTTCAGATCTACTTCCAGTCTTTCGGTTTTGGTGTGAACAATCTAGAGAAACAAAAGTATATCACAAGTCAGGAATATATTTCCATATCAGCCCACTCCCTACCCCCACCCCCACTACCCCATCACTCACACTGGGCTTCTTCCCCTCTTATTACGACGTGAATTATTTAATCCACGCTCAAAAGATTCCTCACATGCTAGATGGCTTACCTGATGGGAACGCATCCTTAAATTTAAATCCTGGTCCAGCTGCATCCTAATATTTTCTGGACGCCTGGAAACCTGGCAGTTCCGTGAAGAATGAAAAACATAAAATGAATTGTAGATGTTTGCTTGATAATTTTCTTCATTACGAAAATTTCTTCAAGGAGATACACTTCATGATCATGAGAAGAATTACATGAATTTGTTTTCCATTAATTCTCTGTGATGTCAGTGTAAAGAGGATATTACTTTAAAGTTCCTCTTTAGGAAAAGAGTCAGGGGTGTAGACAAGCATATTTGTGCATATTAAAATCATGCATTCCAAGATGAGCACACACATGTGCAACTCCCAATTTATTGCTGTAGATGTTCAATACAGGCAATAAAGAATATTCCCGCTGGGATAAAAAAAGAAAGACCTAGTTTTAGTTAATTTGTTTAGGAAATGTAAAAGACAGTGGTTCAAACCAAATATGAATCATCTAAATTTTATGTTACTATTGTATAGGGCCAAAGAAAGTAGCTAATGTGGCAAGGAAGGAACGAACCAAGAATTAGCACAAACTCTGATAATTGCCATTCTTTATTAGAAATTACAAATAAACTAGTTTGTATTGAATAGGGTGTGTGTGTGTGTGGATCTCATATATGTAATGGAAATAGAAAGCGAACATGTACACTATCTAAAATATGTTGCACATGCATTATTAACAATTACCTCAGCACGTCTCTGTTCTTCTGTGGTAGATGACAGAAGAGGAAGTCTGGATGTTTCTTCCTGCCATGACAAAATACCCCATTTAAAAAAAACAAACAAATTGACAGCCACTAATTTTTCTAACAACAGCTCTATGTGACTTGGGTTGTTGTTAAAGATAGTTTCAGCTTCAAATCTGCGGTGCCAACTGTATTTCTGTCATCTAAAGTTTGCACCCCGGCCTGGAAGATTTTGATGTTGGTCCACAACTGGAGCAGCTTCTTGGATGAGAATCTAAACATCTTCAAGGAAAACAAAAAAGAAAGTCCTGCTTCCTCTTGAAAAATTCCCATTCCTATTCTTGGGAATAGGAATGGGACAGATAGGGAGTCCTTCTACTATATCCCCAAACAGCCCTTTCATTTTAAGTGCAGAGAAAACGAAAAGTACTCCTGCTAAAAGTCATGTAAAATCTCCATTAGCAACTTGGCCTATTAAATATGTTAAATCAATACTTACAATGACCTAAGATAGCTCTGCAAGTTCATTGATTCTTTCATCCAACTTATTTGGCTGCCCAAGTTGCAATAGAGACTCTGGGTCTCTCTCTTTGCTTTCCTTCCACTTGTTTGTGTTTGATTCTCAGGGACTGACCGACCCGACCTACTTACCTACCCACCTAATACCCACCGACCGACCGACCGACCGACCGACCGACCGACCTACCTACCTACCTAAGTATTCAAATTTCTATATGTTTTATCACACTTGAGAATAGCATTTACTGCGACAGCCTATGAACAAATGTTTTTTCTTACCTCTTTTTGGAGACGTTTCATGGTTTCTCTTAATCTTCTCAACAAATGGTTTTCCATCGCAAAATCAGTGATGGAAACTAAGGTAAGGTAATAGGTGAGAATGCAGAATAGCTTTAACATTTTTATTTCAAAAATTGGAATGTAGATCTTGAGACACAATGTCTACAATAGCACATCATTTTTAAATTATATTTGCCCTCCAGGTCCTCTAATCTGATCCTTTAGGACAGGGCTGTGTCAAACTCCCAGCCCGTGGGCTGGATGGGTCACATGCTGGCCACAGCCACACCCGGTTTAGTGAAGGAGAAAAAAAAGTCCAGATATGTCACGTGATGCCGCCGTGACGACGTGAGTTAAAGACAGAGCTGTAGCCAAATGCAGCTTCCTCAAGAGTGCCTTTTAAACTCTGGGAATGATGCAGGAAAAGGCCATCTCCCATCTGCCTAATAGTTTAGTCTCCAAAGAGCGGTGGAGCTTCTTGTTTTCTCCCGCAGACTTCAACGTCTGCTGAAACGCATTCTCTTCACATTCTCTTCGGTAGTCAGGCTCTAAGTGCTTGAAAAGGCAACTCCCTTTGCCTCCCCTAATAACTGAGGGAAACACAGTCCAATCTTCCTGGATAGCACCTGGTTGCCCATCCCTCTCCAGGACTTTTCACTTTCCATATTATAACAAGAAACATCAACACTAACTTTGTTTTCAAAATGTAAATCCTACTATGTAGGAGATACAACCATGAACCTGCTAAACTACTGTATCTAGAATGATCTATATAACTGGCCGTGTTATAATATTCCCCATGAAAAGTCTTTTAATTTAAGGAACTTTTTTCCTTTCAAACCACAACAGACGCTAACAATTTCTAGAGGTAAAATTTTTGATTTAGCGCGTGAGAAAAGTGTTCACTTTTTCCCCAAATGCCAATCTGCAAAGGTAGCCCAACAAGTTGCTTTCTCACAGTTTAGGCAGTACTACTTTTTGTGAGATTGATTGCGATCACAACTGCATCAATAAAATTTGCAATAGTGATGAGAGCTTCACATGAAAAACAAGCTCATTGTTTTGCGGCCACCAACAAATAGCAGAGGTCTTCTTGGTATTCTATTTAAAATGGGGATTAGCAACAAAATTTTTGCCAAGCAAACATGTCATCAAGGCTTGGTGCTATGGGGTGATGACATCTCAGTGGTTTCTCTCGAAGTGTGACCTGTGACACGCTGGGTCTCCTTCCGGAGGTGTGTCCTTACCAGGATCCTCAGCTCCTCGACGCTTCAGCACCTCAGCACTTCAGCTCCTCGACGCTCAGCACCTCAGCACTTCAGCACTTCGCACTCAGCTCAGACCTCAGCACTTCAGCACCTCCGCACTTCAGCACTCACGTCCGCACTTCAGCAGCACTTAGCTCCTCAACACCTCCGCACTTCAGCACCTCCACACTTCAGCTCCTCACGCTTCAGCACCTCAGCGCTTCAGCACTTCCGCACCTCAGCTCCTCAGAACCTCAGCACTTCAGCACCTCCGCACTTCAGCACTTCAGCACCTCAGCACCTCAGCACCTCAGCACCTTCAGCACTCGCACTTCAGCACCTCCGCACTTCAGCTCACCTTCAGCACCTCAGCGCTTCAGCACTTCCGCACCAGCTCCTCACCTCAGCACTTCAGCACCTCCGCACTTCAGCACTTCAGCCTCAGAACCTCAGCACTTCAGCACTCAGCACGCTCAACCTCCGCACTTCAGCTCAGCACTTCAGCACCTGCACTTCAGCTCCTCAGCACTTCAGCATCCGCACGTCAGCACCTCCGCACTCAGCTCCTCAGCGCTTCAGCGCCTCAGAACCTCAGCACTTCAGCACCTCTGCACTTCAGCACTTCAGCACCTCAGAACGTCCGCACTTCAGCACCTCCCACTTCAGCACCTTAGCTCCTCAACACCTCCGCAATTCAGCACCTCAGCTCCTCCGCAACTCAGCACCTCAACTCCTCAACACCTCAGCACAAGGATTGGGATCCTGGATATATATATATGTAGCAGTCAAAGTCATCACAATCAGTGTTTCATGACATGGTCTACTATGTCTTAATCTTTTATCTAGCTGTGGATAGATGCTAGAGGTGCAACTTGTATGCCCCACAGTGTCATGGCAGATAGCAGATACCCCCTCCTATGCCCCTCGTGCTCAAATCAATCAATGGCTGTCCACTATCGTGTGGTATTGGAGCTTGGGCTACAACACCATTGAAACATTCTTTCGCTTTTTACTAATTTCAGAACAACCTCAAAAATGCTTGGCTGTTTATCAGGCTTGAGTTTAGGGGTGCTTCTACTATGTCCATTATACCAAATGCCCTTTGCTTCTGGAGTGCGATGGAGTGGAACCATTACAGGGCACGAAACCATCTCAGTGGGTGGGGTCCTTTCTGCAACAATGACTATCTTGAGGTCACACCATTTCAACAAGTGTCCATCTACTAAATGACCACTCACAAATGATTCCAAAAACTCCAATCATTTCTCAATTTCTAGCATGTGTCTGCTTTGTTTCATCCCTCTGGTGAATTACCATCCAACTTTACCATCCTATTTTGCCTGTGGAGAAATCCTTGGGACACATCTGTACCAGGAACACAACACTGGTTAATTTTCTCAAGTGGCAGATTGCCCATGTCAAGGGTGGAACAGATTTATGTGACTCTCTTGATTCTTGGAACAGTTCAGCTGTGGGCAAGGTGGCTGAGGGAGGGTCGTCCTGTCTCCTCTCTTGTCTGTGGGGAGGCCTTTTAACTCTAGCACGACGACATGTCGAGAGAGTTACTGATTAGTCTCGTAAAGAGAATTTTAAAGGGAAACGGAAATTACTGTCTCCTGGAAGAACCTGAGAGAGAGTCCATCTTGCCTCTGGTGCTTCAGAAGACAGAATCAAAAGATGGAAGGGTTTCAGCTGGACATTAGGAGAACATTCTAAAGCGAAGGGAGAGAAGATTAGAGAATTGACAGCCATCAATTTTTCCTCCCAACTGTGGACATCAAAGCCCCCACTTTATCGACCCCATTGGGTCTGAAAAAGACAGTTAAGCTCTAGGCAGCTTCAGAAGAACATTGGCTCTCCTTGGAGATCTTAAGCTAAGACTAAGAAATTTTAGAATGGTTCCACAAGGACAAATGTAAGTAAACCACCAAAGTTGAGAGTTCAGATCAATTGTGATGCAGCAGTCAAGGTATTAGATGAGGAACAAGGAGCCTCCCGGTTCAAGTCCAACCATAGACGTTCCTGGGTGACTTCCTCACACTTTCTCATCCCTTTATCTCACACGGTTAATGGATGGAGGGAAAGAGGAACAAAAACTCTCCGGTACCATGAGCTCCTGAACATGAAGCAATACAGGCTGACACAAACACCTCCCAAATTCCAACTGTGGGTTGTGCAGAGGTGCGCTCCTGCATGCGCACTATTGGTTCAGGCTTCCTAATGGGAAATGGGGGAAGGCAAGGCACATACAAGCAGGGAATGTTAAAATTTGCTGATGTATAAAAGGAACACGTATGCAACTGTCCCTGAATACCAGACACATACGTTCACTCTTATGCAGTGCCAGAGTAGTCTGCTCAAGCTGTAAGTCCAACCCTGAATTCTGTTGTGCTAATTGTTAGTTGAGAAGATTCTGTGCATAGTTTCAGCGTTCCGACGGGACCTTTGCGAGTTGACACATAGACTGTTTAGCATTAAATCAGTTTAATTGGACCTTCGCGTGTGGACCTGGTCTTTCCATCAGACACCTTGTTGTCAAATTTTTGCCATTTCATCCCTGGTCATAAATTAATTATTCATGTCGTCATGTGACAGCTTTTACATCGTCACTTTTACTACATAATCTTTTTTTCATTGAATGACCTCTCATTTTCTTGATGCTTATAAAGTGGCCTTGTTGCAGTCTCCAAATGCTTTGGTTTTTCTTAAGGGAGTAGATTATTTTATGCAACAGATAGTAATGTACTCGGCAATCCTATTGCAACTCAGATCACCTACTGATTGCTCGTACGTAGTGCTCTCAGCTCCTTGTAACTGATTCATGGTGGATATGAATTTCTGACTGACTGAAAAGTTGCCTGACTTTTAAAACGCATCCGTGCGGTGTGTGCCTCCCTTTACACTGCATGCGGAGGGATTGTAGATGAGAATAACCACGTTTTGAGTGAAAGTTCCCCTTTTAGAGATTGGGCCCTATGCAAGGCCAGACCCATATTGGTGGTCTCCCCCAGATACCTTATGGATACAGTGGGATTTCTGGTGGGAGCCTAATTTGCAAGGGATCTTGGCCTCTTGGCACAATTGCATCTGAATAGGAAATTTGTTTAGGTGGCTCCTTTGTTTGATTGTTAATTTACATGTTATTCAAAGTAAATAAATCTGATATGATAAATCAGATATGTTTACGTGTCTGTCTGTGTGTGTTTTTCGCAAAGTATCAGGCAATGGCCCAGGGGCCAGATAAATGGCTCTTTGAGAATCCAAACACAACGAACAAACCAGTTAACGAGGAGATTTCAGGCTTTATTAAGTACCTGTAGAACAGGGATGTCAAACTGGCGGCCTTCAGGCCGTATGCCCCATGCACAGGCCATGCCCACACCAGCTCCCCAAAGGTAAAAAATGTCATGGAACGTCACGTGATAGCAACGTGCTGTAGAAGGCAAATTAAATAGACGAAAGCATCAAGTCTTAGAAGTCATTTCGCTTCTCAACCAAGAAGGTTCTTCAGGTCTGATTGGATGGTGGGAATGGAAGGATTGATATTCCTTGCAGACAGCTGGTCATTTGTATTCTTTTAGAGAGTCGTTGAGGCCACTTGGAGGTTTGCTTGGTCCTCAGGGTCACCTGAGTAGTGCAAATGGGTGGGGAGCCTTTTTCGACCTGCTGAAAGGGTTCCTGCAGTCTGCACTTTTTCTGGAACTCCCTTCATACTCCTGCACCATCAAGTCCAATGATCGCTCTTTTGCTGCTGGGAACCCCATTTCAAGCAATGGTGATGCTCTGAGGCCCTGGGCGTACAGCCCCACACAACAGACAAGACCGTGGTCCATAACTGTCGGACGGGCATGGAAGTCTGACACGTTTCCTGATAAGGCATCCCCTTCCTTCCACATAGGCTGCATTGTTATGCTAGCAACGCTGCACTCAGGGGAGCACTTCTGATTTTGGTTGATTCCTTTTCACCTTCAAAGCTTCCAGCTTTCACATCTGGCTTTTCGATGAGAGCTGCACGTGGTTTCCTATATGATTTTATACACGTAGGTCAGTTGACTCCAAACAAACAAAATGATCAACGGTGAAGACCCATTTGAAATGGTCCAAAAGAGTAGCGCACATGCCGAAACTTAGCTGACACTTCTCCTGTAAGAATCAGGTGAAAACACGGCATTTCTCTCAAAAGGAGGGCTGCAGATGTTCCCGGATTCCAGCCTCGGAGAGAAGGCCCATGAGCTGGGAATTTCTACCCCCAAAATACTGGAGGCCCACAGATTCTCCACCAGAGATGATACAGTATTTCACAGTGCTTCTCATCAAGATGCTTCAGAAATCCTTACCACAGCCACGACGAGTAAATCTGTCTTGTTCTTTTCCTAAATGTGCTGACCTAGGCTATCATGGCTTGTTTAAGATATCTGTTGAGTTCATGGGGAAGCTATTTCCAGACCTTCTGATCCGTGAACTAACCTCTTAGTTACAGAATGATATCTCATTTTGTTTATGTCTAGGTAGGGCAAATTCACATGGGCTGTGGACCAGTAATATGTATTTTTAGGAAAAATGCTTCCTCTTCATACATCGCACATAGAAACAGAGGCGTGCATCTAAAATTGTTGTCATTGCTGACTGATCTAATTTCTAAACTAATGCTTAAATGCATTTCTTCAGATAGCTCCTTGGTGACAGCTTTTCTGATATCTCACTTGGCTTGAGATTTCTTGATAGGCTATCAGGGAAGACTATTTAACTTTGATGGTTATCTTCCTGAATCATCCAGCTCTCACTGGCATAATTCCTAGTTCACAAGGATCTCTTTGTTTTAGTGAGTTGTTGGTACAGGTGACACAGCCTGTATGGCATATGCAATCTTGGTCTATCCTTTCTTTGTCCGTGCTCTACGGTTGTCTATCCATTCTTGGCATTTTGGCATAAATCATGCTTGTCGTTTGGCCCTTCTTTCCTTTTCTTCTTCCATATCAATCGCTTCTTCTTTCCTTTTTCCTTCCACTCTCTTTCTTTTCTCCTCCCACCCAACTTAAGGCAGCGTCTAGATAATCGCAATTGTTGATGACAAGCGTTCATTGGTTATGAAGCTCCTGCTGTAATACCAACGTCCATTAGGAAAACAGTATGCCACTCACTCCAAAAGGCCCAAGAAGTTTTGGAAAACCACAACAATAAATACTTGCTGATAGGTTTCCAGTTTGTACATTTGGTCATCTTGATCCCAGTAACCCTAGAAGCAGCAGAAATGAGAGACAAGTCTGTACCAAGATGGGATGGGATGGGAGGTTTCAGGCTCTTCCCCATGGAGGTGATTTAAAACTATCTCAAGCTACTCATTCACATATTGCACGATTTCTTCAGGACGTTTTCTATGCATTCCAAGAGCCATTCTTTCTGGCTTCTTCCGGGGATTCTCTCTGAGGTTTTTCAGAGATGGTTGTAGCCATGCTTGCATATCTGTTTTGGATGCACTAGGACCATTCTTTCTGAACTTTAGCTAAAGATGCTTGAAGCCATCCATCCACCCATAAGTTTCTTTCAGAGCAAGCAGGTTCTACCCAAATCACCCTCTCCTTCCTCTTTACCATGCTTGTTTTTGATTCCTTAGAGTATTTGAGATCCTGGATGCCCTTGATAGATGCTTCAGGACATTCCCGAGTACCTAGATGGGGTGCTTCAGGTCCTTCCTCTTTGAAGCTATTTACAGATATTTCAAGCCATTTTTGGCATCTTGCTTGTATGTTTCAGGACCTTTCCCAAGTTTTTCAGGGATCGTTGAAGCCATTTTTCCAGATGCAGTATGGGTTCTTCAGAAAATAAAAAGCTTTCTAAGGATCCTTGAAGCCATTGTAAACTATTTTCCATGGGTCCTTCGGACATTGCTTCTTGAGGTTTGCTATTGATTTTTCAAACCATCTCTTCCTCAGAGTTCTTTTAATCTCTACCGTGGACTTCTGTAGATCCTGAACGCCTTTAATAGAGGCTTCAAGCCATTCCCGAGTACCTAGGTGTCCTTCCTCCTCAAGATTCTTTATAGATATTTCAAGTCATTTTTTTGGCATCTTGTTTAGATACTTTAGGACCTTCGTCTTGCAGGTTTTTTAAGGATTGTCGAAGCCATTTTTCAAGAACTGGTCTAGGTTCTCCAGAAAGTGACAGGCTTTCTAAGGATCCTTGAAGCCATTCTAATCTATTCACCAGAGATCCTTCAGGACATTGCTACTTGAGGTTCTCTATTGATTTTTCCAGCCATCCCTTTTTTCTGGCTCGACTTGGATTTTTGTAGATGTTGAATGCCTATAATAGATGCTTCAAGCCATCCCTGCACATCTAAATCACAGGTTTCTGGCCCTTCTTCTTGGAAATGATTTATCGATGTTTCTAGCCAACCATTCACATCCCCCCTGGATGCCTCAGCACATTCCTTCGGGAGGTTGGTGGTGGATGCTTTAAGCCATTCGGGCAGGGGGTACAGTTCAGAGGAATCCTCTTTCAGGATTTTCAGCGATTGCTGAAGCCACCTCAGTATATTTTGCCCGGGTTCCTTAGATGTTCTGATTTTGAGGCTGTCTACTGAAGCCTTAAGCCATTTCTTATTTAATTGATATCTCAAATTGATTTGAGGCTTCGTTTTGTCTTGAGCTTCTGTCTTGTTTTCGGTAATGTCTGCCCTTGTTTGGCAGAGACTCACAGAGCCTCCTTTGCTCTCTCTGCTGCTGGGTCTCTGCTCCATCTGGTCTCGGTCCATCATTAAGGGGCAGCGGCCCTTCCTCAGTTGTGTCTCTCTAGAAAAAGCCAGAAGGTTAGATGTGAATCTGGACCAACAACAAAGCATTCTTAATTAAAAAAGGATGGGAACTGCTTTGATGTCAGGAAACTCTCACTCTTGTGTCTAAAGTGTGTAGAAGTGTATGAATATTGTTGGGCAGCGGGGTTGGAGGTTAAAAGATCTCTCCTATACATATCTTCCCATTCACTTCCATGAGATTAACTCCTAGATTTGTATATGTAAAAGTATAATGAGCCATAATTCATTAATTTCTTTCTGAAGTAAGGAGATGTTCAGGTTTTCCCAAGCTTTCTAAGATAAGGGGAACCTAATGTGAAATTCTGGAACAGGAAATTCATGGTGGCTATCTAAAAATTTCTCACCTCCACAGTCTTTTTTCGTACTCTCGGCAGAGCTCCTCTTTCTCGTCGGTCAACTCAATATTTTTGAAGGTCAGGACCTCTGTTTTCATTTCGAGCTCTTTGTTTTCTATCGTTAGCTTTGCTATTACTGCTCTTTTTCTGTAAATTATGAGGACAAGAGATATTAGCCCTCTTCATTTTTACTTGAATTACTAAGCATACCTACATTCTTAATTATTTTTGCATTCCATTATACCTATTGCTCTTCTCTTATTCAGTCATACATACATATAAAAGAATGGAACATTTCTTTCATCCGGTATATCTGGCTTAAGGGCTCTAATAAATAAATTTGAATTGGAAAGAAAAAATCAAGTTCGATCTAAACATTTCTCACCTATAAAATTCTTCTTTAAGGTCATTATTTTCCCGTAGGAGCTCTGCATTTTCTCCAGCATATTTTTTAAGCTTGCAGCTGAGACTCTCATTTTCTCGTCTGAGTTTGTCCAGCTGCTCAGGCTCATCTGAACTCTTTTCCCTGTAAAATATCACGAGCAGAGTGAAATTAGCCCCCTTAGGGTTTTTTATTTGAATCATAATACTCGTTTAACTTTAAAACTAATTGAAATAGCTGAGAAAGGAAGAGGAAGTCAGGGTTACTAGCTCACCTGCTCAGCTTTTCTTCATACTCTTTGCAGAGTATGAAGAGTTCTTCTTTTTCTTTGGCCAGTTGCAGATTTTTATTCGTAAGCTCCTGAATTTTTAATTCCAGCTCCTCTTTCTCTGTCAGGAGTTTTGACATTTCCATTGTCTTTCTGCAAATTATGAAGATCGGAGAGAAATTAGCTCCCTTTGTAAAAGAATGAGCTTTTTTACTTGAATGATCACTCCTTTTCTTCAATTAAAACACATTAAAAATACCTTCATGGGTGGGTGCGTGCGTGCGTGCGTGCGCTTTTGTGCGCCACATTTGTGCGTGTACGTCAATGCACAGGAAATAATGCTTTGACCATTTATTTTTTCTTTTTTCTAATAATGTTCCATGAAAGGCACAAACAAATTTAAAATGATTTTCAGAAGCAAAGTAAAGTTATGGATGTAGGATATGGGGAAAGTTCTCACTGCTCACAAATGCCTAACTGTCGACATATTTCAACAAGTTGGTCTCTCAGAGATAGTAGTACCTTGTTTATGAGGGAGCGTATATTAATTGTATTAATACCCTTGTTATCTCGTGCTCCGCCGGACGTTGTTTATGAGGGAGCGTAACAAGAGTATTAATAAACCCTCAAGATAATAAACAGCAAATTGTTATAAACTAAACTCTTTTCAGAAGTCATTCTGTAGTGTAGAGGATACCTAAAATGTTTGTGCACCACATAAAGGTATGGTGTATGCCATGACTTACGCATAACTCTGGTTCCTCGCTCTCTTCAGATCTACTTCCAGTCTTTCGGTTTTGGTGTGAACAATCTAGAGAAACAAAAGTATATCACAAGTCAGGAATATATTTCCATATCAGCCCACTCCCTAACCCCACCCCCACTACCCCCCATCACTCACACTGGGCTTCTTCCCCTCTTATTACGACGTGAATTATTTAATCCACGCTCAAAAGATTCCTCACATGCTAGATGGCTTACCTGATGGGAACGCATCCTTAAATTTAAATCCTGGTCCAGCTGCATCCTAATATTTTCTGGACGCCTGGAAACCTGGCAGTTCCGTGAAGAATGAAAAACATAAAATGAATTGTAGATGTTTGCTTGATAATTTTCTTCATTACGAAAATTTCTTCAAGGAGATACACTTCATGATCATGAGAAGAATTACATGAATTTGTTTTCCATTAATTCTCTGTGATGTCAGTGTAAAGAGGATATTACTTTAAAGTTCCTCTTTAGGAAAAGAGTCAGGGGTGTAGACAAGCATATTTGTGCATATTAAAATCATGCATTCCAAGATGAGCACACACATGTGCAACTCCCAATTTATTGCTGTAGATGTTCAATACAGGCAATAAAGAATATTCCCTGGGATAAAAAAAGAAAGACCTAGTTTTAGTTAATTTGTTTAGGAAATGTAAAAGACAGTGGTTCAAACCAAATATGAATCATCTAAATTTTATGTTACTATTGTATAGGGCCAAAGAAAGTAGCTAATGTGGCAAGGAAGGAACGAACCAAGAATTAGCACAAACTCTGATAATTGCCATTCTTTATTAGAAATTACAAATAAACTAGTTTGTATTGAATAGGTGTGTGTGTGTGTGGATCTCATATATGTAATGGAAATAGAAAGCGAACATGTACACTATCTAAAATATGTTGCACATGCATTATTAACAATTACCTCAGCACGTCTCTGTTCTTCTGTGGTAGATGACAGAAGAGGAAGTCTGGATGTTTCTTCCTGCCATGACAAAATACCCCATTTAAAAAAACAAACAAATTGACAGCCACTAATTTTTCTAACAACAGCTCTATGTGACTTGGGTTGTTGTTAAAGATAGTTTCAGCTTCAAATCTGCGGTGCCAACTGTATTTCTGTCATCTAAAGTTTGCACCCCGCCTGGAAGATTTTGATGTTGGTCCACAACTGGAGCAGCTTCTTGGATGAGAATCTAAACATCTTCAAGGAAAACAAAAAAGAAAGTCCTGCTTCCTCTTGAAAAATTCCCATTCCTATTCTTGGGAATAGGAATGGGACAGATAGGGAGTCCTTCTACTATATCCCCAAACAGCCCTTTCATTTTAAGTGCAGAGAAAACGAAAAGTACTCCTGCTAAAAGTCATGTAAAATCTCCATTAGCAACTTGGCCTATTAAATATGTTAAATCAATACTTACAATGACCTAAGATAGCTCTGCAAGTTCATTGATTCTTTCATCCAACTTATTTGGCTGCCCAAGTTGCAATAGAGACTCTGGGTCTCTCTCTTTGCTTTCCTTCCACTTGTTTGTGTTTGATTCTCAGGGACTGACCGACCGACCTACTTACCTACCCACCTAATACCCACCGACCGACCGACCGACCGACCCGACCTACCTACCTAAGTATTCAAATTTCTATATGTTTTATCACACTTGAGAATAGCATTTACTGCGACAGCCTATGAACAAATGTTTTTTCTTACCTCTTTTTGGAGACGTTTCATGGTTTCTCTTAATCTTCTCAACAAATGGTTTTCCATCGCAAAATCAGTGATGGAAACTATAAGGTAAGGTAATAGGTGAGAATGCAGAATAGCTTTAACATTTTTATTTCAAAAATTGGAACGTAGATCTTGAGACACAATGTCTACAATAGCACATCATTTTTAAATTATATTTGCCCTCCAGGTCCTCTAATCTGATCCTTTAGGACAGGGCTGTGTCAAACTCCCAGCCCGTGGGCTGGATGGGTCACATGCTGGCCACAGCCACACCTGGTTTAGTGAAGGAGAAAAAAAGTCCAGATATGTCACGTGATGCCGCCGTGACGCCGTGAGTTAAAGACAGAGCTGTAGCCAAATGCAGCTTCCTCAAGAGTGCCTTTTAAACTCTGGGAATGATGCAGGAAAAGGCCATCTCCCATCTGCCTAATAGTTTAGTCTCCAAAGAGCGGTGGAGCTTCTTGTTTTCTCCCGCAGACTTCAACGTCTGCTGAAACGCATTCTCTTCACATTCTCTTCGGTAGTCAGGCTCTAAGTGCTTGAAAAGGCAACTCCCTTTGCCTCCCCTAATAACTGAGGGAAACACAGTCCAATCTTCCTGGATAGCACCTGGTTGCCCATCCCTCTCCAGGACTTTTCACTTTCCATATTATAACAAGAAACATCAACACTAACTTTGTTTTCAAAATGTAAATCCTACTATGTAGGAGATACAACGATGAACCTGCTAAACTACTGTATCTAGAATGATCTATATAACTGGCCGTGTTATAATATTCCCCATGAAAAGTCTTTTAATTTAAGGAACTTTTTTCCTTTCAAACCACAACAGACGCTAACAATTTCTAGAGGTAAAATTTTTGATTTAGCGCGTGAGAAAAGTGTTCACTTTTTCCCCAAATGCCAATCTGCAAAGGTAGCCCAACAAGTTGCTTTCTCACAGTTTAGGCAGTACTACTTTTTGTGAGATTGATTGCGATCACAACTGCATCAATAAAATTTGCAATAGTGATGAGAGCTTCATATGAAAAACAAGCTCATTGTTTTGCGGCCACGAACAAATAGCAGAGGTCTTCTTGGTATTCTATTTAAAATGGGGATTAGCAACAAAATTTTACAAGGTGCCAAGCAAACATGTCATCAAGGCTTGGTGCTATGGGGTGATGACATCTCAGTGGTTTCTCTCGAAGTGTGACCTGTGACACGCTGGGTCCTCCTTCCGGAGGTGTGTCCTTACCAGGATCCTCAGCTCCTCGACGCTTCAGCACCTCAGCACTTCAGCTCCTCGACGCTTCAGCACCTCAGCACTTCAGCACTTCCGCACCTCAGCTCCTCAGAACCTCAGCACTTCAGCACCTCCGCACTTCAGCACTTCAGCACCTCAGAACGTCCGCACTTCAGCACCTCAGCACTTAGCTCCTCAACACCTCCGCACTTCAGCACCTCCACACTTCAGCTCCTCGACGCTTCAGCACCTCAGCGCTTCAGCACTTCCGCACCTCAGCTCCTCAGAACCTCAGCACTTCAGCACCTCCGCACTTCAGCACTTCAGCACTTCAGCACCTCAGAACGTCCGCACTTCAGCACCTCAGCACTTCAGCTCCTCGACGCTTCAGCACCTCAGCGCTTCAGCACTTCCGCACCTCAGCTCCTCAGAACCTCAGCACTTCAGCACCTCCGCACTTCAGCACTTCAGCACCTCAGAACCTCAGCACTTCAGCACCTCAGCACTTAGCTCAACACCTCCGCACTTCAGCACCTCAGCACTTCAGCACCTCCGCACTTCAGCTCCTCAGCACTTCAGCACCTCCGCACGTCAGCACCTCCGCACCTCAGCTCCTCAGCGCTTCAGCGCCTCAGAACCTCAGCACTTCAGCACCTCTGCACTTCAGCACTTCAGCACCTCAGAACGTCCGCACTTCAGCACCTCCGCACTTCAGCACCTTAGCTCCTCAACACCTCCGCAATTCAGCACCTCAGCTCCTCCGCAACTCAGCACCTCAACTCCTCAACACCTCAGCACAAGGATTGGGATCCTGGATATATATATATGTAGCAGTCAAAGTCATCACAATCAGTGTTTCATGACATGGTCTACTATGTCTTAATCTTTTATCTAGCTGTGGATAGATGCTAGAGGTGCAACTTGTATGCCCCACAGTGTCATGGCAGATAGCAGATACCCCCTCCTATGCCCCCTCGTGCTCAAATCAATCAATGGCTGTCCACTATCGTGTGGTATTGGAGCTTGGGCTACAACACCATTGAAACATTCTTTCGCTTTTTACTAATTTCAGAACAACCTCAAAAATGCTTGGCTGTTTATCAGGCTTGAGTTTAGGGGTGCTTCTACTATGTCCATTATACCAAATGCCCTTTGCTTCTGGAGTGCGATGGAGTGGAACCATTACAGGGCACGAAACCATCTCAGTGGGTGGGGTCCTTTCTGCAACAATGACTATCTTGAGGTCACACCATTTCAACAAGTGTCCATCTACTAAATGACCACTCATAAATGATTCCAAAAACTCTAATCATTTCTCAATTTCTAGCATGTGTCTGCTTTGTTTCATCCCTCTGGTGAATTACCATCCAACTTTACCATCCTATTTTGCCTGTGGAGAAATCCTTGGGACACATCTGTGCCAGGAACACAACACTGGTTAATTTTCTCAAGTGGCAGATTGCCCATGTCAAGGGTGGAATAGATTTATGTGACTCTCTTGATTCTTGGAACAGTTCAGCTGTGGGCAAGGTGGCTGAGGGAGGGTCGTCCTGTCCTCTCTTGTCTGTGGGGAGGCCTTTTAACTCTAGCACGACGACATGTCGAGAGAGTTACTGATTAGTCTCGTAAAGAGAATTTTAAAGGGAAAGGAAATTACTGTCTCCAGAAGAACCTGAGAGAGAGTCCATCTTGCCTCTGGTGCTTCAGAAGACAGAATCAAAAGATGGAAGGGTTTCAGCTGGACATTAGGAGAACGTTCTAAAGCGAAGGGAGAGAAGATTAGAGAATTGACAGCCATCAATTTTTCCTCCCAACTGTGGACATCAAAGCCCCCACTTTATCGACCCCATTGGGTCTGAAAAAGACAGTTAAGCTCTAGGCAGCTTCAGAAGAACATTGGCTCTCCTTGGAGATCTTCAGCTAAGTCTAAGAAATTTTAGAATGGTTCCACAAGGACAAATGTAAGTAAACCACCAAAGTTGAGAGTTCAGATCAATTGTGATGCAGCAGTCAAGGTATTAGATGAGGAACAAGGAGCCTCCCGGTTCAAGTCCAACCATAGACGTTCCTGGGTGACTTCCTCACACTTTCTCATCCCTTTATCTCACACGGTTAATGGATGGAGGGAAAGAGGAACAAAAACTCTCCGGTACCATGAGCTCCTGAACATGAAGCAATACAGGCTGACACAAACACCTCCCAAATTCCAACTGTGGGTTGTGCAGAGGTGCGCTCCTGCATGCGCGCTATTGGTTCAGGCTTCCTAATGGGAAATGGGGGAAGGCAAGGCACATACAAGCAGGGAATGTTAAAATTTGCTGATGTATAAAAGGAACACTTATGCAACTGTCCCTGAATAACAGACACATACGTTCACTCTTATGCAGTGCCAGAGTAGTCTGCTCAAGCTGTAAGTCCAACCCTGAATTCTGTTGTGCTAATTGTTAGTTGAGAAGATTCTGTGCATAGTTTCAGCGTTCCGACGGGACCTTTGCGAGTTGACACATAGACTGTTTAGCATTAAATCAGTTTAATTGGACCTTCGCGTGTGGACCTGGTCTTTCCATCAGACACCTTGTTGTCAAATTTTTGCCATTTCATCCCTGGTCATAAATTAATTATTCATGTCGTCATGTGACAGCTTTTACATCGTCACTTTTACTGCATAATCTTTTTTTCATTGAATGACCTCTCATTTTCTTGATGCTTATAAAGTGGCCTTGTTGCAGTCTCCAAATGCTTTGGTTTTTCTTAAGGGAGTAGATTATTTTATGCAACAGATAGTAATGTACTCGGCACCTAGATCCTATTGCAACTTCCCCAGGATCAAAACCAGATTTACTTTGCGATTGCTCGTACGTAGTGGGCTCTCAGCTCCTTGTAACTGATTCATGGTGGATATGAATTTCTGACTGACTGAAAAGTTGCCTGACTTTTAAAATGCATCCGTGCGGTATGGCCTCCCTTTACACTGCATGCGGAGGGATTGTAGATGAGAATAACCACGATTTGAGTGAAAGTTCCCCTTTTAGAGATTGGGCCCTATGCAAGGCCAGACCCATATTGGTGGTCTCCCCCAGATACCTTATGGATACAGTTGATTTCTGGTGGGAACCTAATTTGCAAGGGATCTTGGCCTCTTGGCACAATTGCATCTGAATAGGAAATTTGTTTAGGTGGCTCCTTTGTTTGATTGTTAATTTACATGTTATTCAAAGTAAATAAATCTGATATGATAAATCAGATATGTTTACGTGTCTGTCTGTGTGTTTTTCGCAAAGTATCAGGCAATGGCCCAGGGGCCAGATAAATGGCTCTTTGAGAATCCAAACACAACGAACAAACCAGTTAACGAGGAGATTTCAGGCTTTATTAAGTACCTGTAGAACAGGGATGTCAAACTGGCGGCCTTCAGGCCGTATGCCCCATGCACAGGCCATGCCCACACCAGCTCCCCAAAGGTAAAAAATGTCATGGAACGTCACGTGAATAGCAATGTGCTGTAGAAGGCAAATTAAATAGACGAAAGCATCAAGTCTTAGAAGTCATTTCGCTTCTCAACCAAGAAGGTTCTTCAGGTCTGATTGGATGGTGGGAATGGAAGGATTGATATTCCTTGCAGACAGCTGGGCATTTGTATTCTTTTAGAGAGTCGTTGAGGCCACTTGGAGGTTTGCTTGGTCCTCAGGGTCACCTGAGTAGTGCAAATGGGTGGGGAGCCTTTTTCGACCTGCTGAAAGGGTTCCTGCAGTCTGCACTTTTTCTGGAACTCCCTTCATACTCCTGCACCATCAAGTCCAATGATCGCTCTTTTGCTGCTGGGAACCCCATTTCAAGCAATGGTGATGCTCTGAGGCCCTGGGCGTACAGCCCCACACAACAGACAAGACCGTGGTCCATAACTGTCGGACGGGCATGGAAGTCTGACACGTTTCCTGATAAGGCATCCCCTTCCTTCCACATAGGCTGCATTGTTATGCTAGCAATGCTGCACTCAGGGGAGCACTTCTGATTTTGGTTGATTCCTTTTCACCTTCAAAGCTTCCAGCTTTCACATCTGGCTTTTCGATGAGAGCTGCATGTGGTTTCCTATATGATTTTATACACGTAGGTCAGTTGACTCCAAACAAACAAAATGATCAACGGTGAAGACCCATTTGAAATGGTCCAAAAGAGTAGCGCACATGCCGAAACTTAGCTGACACTTCTCCTGTAAGAATCAGGTGAAAACACGGCATTTCTCTCGAAAGGAGGGCTGCAGATGTTCCCGGATTCCAGCCTCGGAGAGAAGGCCCATGAGCTGGGAATTTCTACCCCCAAAATACTGGAGGCCCACAGATTCTCCACCAGAGATGATACAGTATTCACAGTGCTTCTCATCAAGATGCTTCAGAAATCCTTACCACAGCCACGACGAGTAAATCTGTCTTGTTCTTTTCCTAAATGTGCTGCCTAGGCTATCATGGCTTGTTTAAGATATCTGTTGAGTTCATGGGGAAGCTATTTCCAGACCTTCTGATCCGTGAACTAACCTCTTAGTTACAGAATGATATCTCATTTTGTTTATGTCTAGGTAGGGCAAATTCACATGGGCTGTGGACCAGTAATATGTATTTTTAGGAAAAATGCTTCCTCTTCATACATCGCACATAGAAACAGAGGCGTGCATCTAAAATTGTTGTCATTGCTGACTGATCTAATTTCTAAACTAATGCTTAAATGCATTTCTTCAGATAGCTCCTTGGTGACAGCTTTTCTGATATCTCACTTGGCTTGAGATTTCTTGATAGGCTATCAGGGAAGACTATTTAACTTTGATGGTTATCTTCCTGAATCATCCAGCTCTCACTGGCATAATTCCTAGTTCACAAGGATCTCTTTGTTTTAGTGAGTTGTTGGTACAGGTGACACAGCCTGTATGGCATATGCAATCTTGGTCTATCCTTTCTTTGTCCGTGCTCTACGGTTGTCTATCCATTCTTGGCATTTTGGCATAAATCATGCTTGTCGTTTGGCCCTTCTTTCCTTTTCTTCCTCCATATCAATCGCTTCTTCTTTCCTTTTTCCTTCCACTCTCTTTCTTTTCTCCTCCCACCCAACTTAAGGCAGCGTCTAGATAATCGCAATTGTTGATGACAAGCGTTCATTGGTTATGAAGCTCCTGCTGTAATACCAACGTCCATTAGGAAAACAGTATGCCACTCACTCCAAAAGGCCCAAGAAGTTTTGGAAAACCACAACAATAAATACTTGCTGATAGGTTTCCAGTTTGTACATTTGGTCATCTTGATCCCAGTAACCCTAGAAGCAGCAGAAATGAGAGACAAGTCTGTACCAAGATGGGATGGGATGGGAGGTTTCAGGCTCTTCCCCATGGAGGTGATTTAAAACTATCTCAAGCTACTCATTCACATATTGCACGATTTCTTCAGGACATTTTCTATGCATTCCAAGAGCCATTCTTTCTGGCTTCTTCCGGGGATTCTCGTCTGAGGTTTTTCAGAGATGGTTGTAGCCATGCTTGCATATCTGTTTTGGATGCACTAGGACCATTCTTTCTGAACTTGCTAAAGATGCTTGAAGCTATCCATACACCAGCCTCAAGAATTCTACACTAACCCAGTAATGGAGTTTAGCAGCTGAAGGGGAAATGATAACATATAGTATGGAGGCAGGTACAGCAGCAATAAACCCAACTACTCTTTAGAACCCAATTGAATACAAATCACCGGTACCTGATGGATTACATCCCAGAATTCTAAAGGAGCTGGGAGATATAATCTCAGAACCACTGTACCACGTCTTTCAAAAATCCTGGAGTATAAGGGAACTATCAGAAGCCTGGAAAAGAGCAGATGTGGTTCCCATCTTCAAAAAAGGGAAAAAAACAGACC